ACAAACACTTTGCGTGACATTGCTTCTTATTCTTCAGTTCTTACAGAGAGGCTTAACTTTTTTTTATTATGTGTTTATTTTTCCGCTGATGGTTCCTTCAAACTGGTAAGCACAAATGAAAGTGCATAGGTATTAGGTATACTCATAGACTCTGGAAAACCCTATAAGCTAAATGCATGGAAAGAGGACTCAACTCGAATGCATTAGTAAGTGGACTTGCAAATCAGGAGATTTATAACAACATGTTCTTGTTTCGTGGTTTTCTCTGTGAAACTTGAAGTTGCCTTTAGTCACGTGATGTTGAAAATAACACTGAAACATCACACAGAATTGCTCATCACTTTATGTGCCCCAGCTCTACAGGAGTTAGGGCAATGGTCATTTTTCACCATTCGTTTCCCTGCTTGGTCAGGCTAGGCAGCTTCTCCCCTGCCCCTCAATTTTTCCTCCTTTGAGTCTCATGTTTTATCTCACACCTAGACCTTGCACTCGCATCTTGCTTCCCCTGTTTGCATCTTTTTCCCTTACAGTCTCCTGCAATTCAGTTTTCAGTTCAGTTAAGCAGCTGCAGAACTTGTCTAGTCAAGTTGAAAAATATAGGCTTTGGATTGTGGTATCGCTACAGCACATTTTAAGAGCTGAAAGTAGAAAAAAACCCGTGTAATGACAAAATTTTCAGACAGAAAGCAAAGACTATAAAAGTGGTCCAGAGGGTGGTGACCAGTGGCACAAAGTCCTGCTGGAGGCCAGTTGTTAGTTGTGTATCCCCACAGCCAATACCGGCACCAACACTGTTTAACATCTTCATTAATGATCTGGATGATGGGACAGAGCATACCCTCAGCAAGTTCGGAGATGATACAAAACTGGGAGAAGTGGCTGATACACCAGAGAGTTGTGCTGCCATCCAGAGGGACCTCAGCAGGCTGGACAAATGGGTTGACAGGAACCTCAAGAAGTTCAACAAGGTGAAATGTAAACTCCTGAATCAGGGGAGGAATAATCCCAGCACCAATACAGGCTGGGGGCTGACTGGCTGGACATGAGCTCTTCAGAGAAGGACCTGGGGGTCTCCTGGTGGACAACAAGCAGACCACAAGCCAACAACACCTCACAGTGCTGCCTACATAATCCCCAGAGCACAATAACTGCCCTACCCAGCCTATCACAGCCATGCACCTTTTATTTTAGCAGATATAAAGCTTCATTCCACCACCTGCACTCCAGACACCTTATCCCCAAGCCCTCTGCCCCTCTCCTGCTTCCCATATTCTCCTGGCTGCTCTTAGGCGGGTTTCTGCCACTCTCATTTCTGTTTCCATACAGCTTCCTAGACACTGTTGTAGACTACTGGTCAGCCTGCTTTCCCTCATGATCATCCCACATGGCACCGCTACTCTTCCCATGGCCACCAGGGATACAAGGTCCTTCCTGGCCATCACCTTTAGTCCCACCCTGAACAAGAGAGGCCTCATTTTGCCTACAAATGTTCACGGGACCATGACAGCTTTTGTGCTGAGAGCAGCTTAAAACTTCTGTCCCTAACAGTGGACAGCAAACTTTTGATGCAAAAGGAGAAGGTCTACAAGTTTGAAAGCAGAAATTTAAAAAACACATGGAAATTCTTACAAAACTGTACTAGGAGATGTATGATATAGATAACAAGAATGGAAAAACATTCTGCAATAAAAAGAAGTATGATTGAAAATTAAAGGGAGGGTGGATTAGGCAACACTGACTGAAAAAACTTTCAGTCTTGGTTAATGTTTCTCCCTGTAGCAATACCAGTGGGTTACCAATTTCATCTTGTGCCGACTGGGATGGAAAATGTTTGAGCAAACGAAATGTCAGGACAAAGGGAAAAAAGGTGGGCACTTTTATCACCAGGACCCTTGGCCCTCCAACATAAGATCTAAACATTGTCTTTCATCAGCTCTGGTTTCAAACCCCATCACCTACAGTACCTATTATTTTTCTTCTGAGTAACAAGCCCATCATTTTTTATAATGGCTTAGCTCTTTTTTACCTTACCAGACAATGTTTGCTGTCCACCTCCTTCAACTTCAGTTAAGTGTTCATATTATGTTATCAAATACTTTTTCCCTAATAGTGCATCCCATAAAATCTGTGAGAAGTGGGCAAATACTTCAGTAGCTATCCTGCAGTCCACTCTCCCCTACCATAGCCTACATTGCCATCAGCATCTAAGCAAGTCAGTTTTAAGCAGTATCTCAAATATGTCTATCAGTCTAGAAACCGCAGTATAAATTTACCCTTATGCATGGGCATAGATTACATAGAACAAATGAAAGCTTTCTTTCCTGAGGTAGGCGAATGTGGAATGCAAATGGTAAACCGTGAATTTCAGACAAACAAATGATTGCCTATCAAAACTCCTTTCCAAACTAGTCCTTAGAGTATTGCATACATGTAAAGGGGGAAAATCTGAAAGATCCAGACAATTGCCACAGGCATCTTTCATTCTAACAGTACTTCCCACTTGCAGATAGAAGCACAAGTCTGAAAAGAGGTAATAACAGCTAAATGGATATTAGTATCTGCCATTACCTGATCTATCTGCACAATTACAGCAGTTTTTGAATGCTAAATTTGCTTATCAAATCTGGCTTAAGAGCGTAAAAGAACCCCTTTTCAGGAACAACATATCACCTACATGTTGTTTGGAACTGATGGAACTTAGAGAAAAACCACATGGGTATAATGCCTAAAAGAGCTGAGAGAAGTAATTGCTTCCAGAGAGATTTCTTTCCCAAACCGAAACGAAGGGGGAATACAACAGGGAACTCCATTTCTGAAAAACAGACATTAGGAGGCCAAAGAACGCCACCAAGAATTAGATTTTTCTTCTCCTTTAACAATGCCAGAAACAAAAACGCTAAGACTAGAAACATCTCAAGACACACCACAGCTGTCAAATAAGAGTAAACAATCCCTGTCTCTGCTCTGACGAAGTCACAAGGATTCAGCCAAATAGAGTCATTTAGTCCTATAAATACTATAAATTTTTTAAGTCATGGGAGCTCTACCAATTTGCAGCAGACAATGATGTGACCACCTCTGTATTGGCATACAGGCCTCTGAATACACCCCAGAAAAAAACGCCACCCTTTATTCAGCCAAAACCAGCCATTTCCTCCCCATCCAAAAATATCAAACAGAAAATCACAGAATGTGTAACTGATAAAGTAAGGTGTCCTACAGGCATAAACGGAATGTGAAATAAATTAACATAAAATAAGTCCAAGCAGAAATCTTCCATATCTACTGCTGATAACAGAAATGTTGTCTAAAAGCTTTTTCAGACGTGTCCTCATACCTGTAGCATGGCTGGGTTTCTACAGATGGTGATTCTTTAGGAAGGAAACCTCAACCTTCTCAGAAATTGGTTTGAAACAGAAACAGATACTGTGAACTAAAAGGGGAGTCTCATTGCTATATTCTCATCTATTCCACAATTTTCGTATTGTTTAAGTAATTTAGTTATATTGCGAAACTACTTTGACATCATTGAGGATGGCAGAAGTACTTCTGATCACAAGCACTTCATTTAATTATTGCCAAAGAGAAAGAAGTCTACGAAATACAAACAGTTAGAAGTAATACACCTGCCTTTAAAAAAAAAAAAAAAAAAAATTAAAAATATCCAGACAGGAAAAAAAGTCAGTGAAATAATATATACTATTAAAAAATATGCCATTGTAGGAAGTGTTCTGGTCCTCAAGACGGTAAGCATTTCGCTATTGAGATATCTTTACATTACTGTGAGGCTGCTATTTGCCATGTACTATGTCACTGTCAAAAAAAAGTCCAACATGCAAACTAGTATGTTAAAAACTTGTAGAGAGACAAACGCAATTCGCAGTTCTAAGGCATCATTCATCCATGCAAGGGAGTATGTCATAAAAAGCATAAAAACACTTACCTCTTCTTGCTTAGGAATGCTGAACTTGGCTATCTTTGACTTGGTCCTGGCCGTATCAGGCTTGTTAGAAGGCACTCCCCTATACGACTTGGTCGTCTCTGCTGGTAACTTCAGCTTTGGAGACTCATCAGGAGCCTGGTCTTGACCATCCATTGGCCTTACATAAGCCGTTGGTTTCTGATGAACCAGACTGGGCTTCGAAGCAAGAAAGTGTGGGAAGTTTTGGACGCAGTGCCCGCCACCATGCTTTGCTGCCCTCTCTTGCGCTTGAGCTCCACCTTCCGAGCTACAATTGAGCTTTGACGGCTGCTGCACTCTGTTGACGTTGTCTCCTAGTGTGGCCCTCAGTGAGCTTTGCTGGGCAGTGTTGGAGGAGGAGGAGGAGGAGGTGGGACTCGATGCATAGCGTTTTAGTTTCTCCAGACTGGATTTTTGGTTCGCCAGTTTGAAGTCACCCTTGTGTGACTCCAGCAACCGGTGCCCATGCTTGCTCGGTCTCTGCTGTCCATCGGAAGCGGCGTTGTGCCCGGCCTTCTGCCAACCCATCGTGGCACTTTTGCTCTGCTGGGCTGACAGGGCTGCTGGTGTGGAAGAAGTAGTGCTGGAAACGGGAGGAGGAGGCGGCGGTCTCGAGTCTGCAATAAGATGTTCATCGGGCTTGGGGAGAGATGTCTGAGGAACCCCAGGTTTTGGAACCCCAACAAGGTGGCTCTGATTTGATCGGTCAGTTAACAAGTCTTTCATTTCATCATAGTTGCCCAGTGTATTCTGGATGCGATTCGAGAGCTCATCCCCCTTGTTAGTCTGCAAAACAGAAATCGAGTGTTCTGCAATAGTTAATGTAAGAAGAACGAAATTCCCTGCATGCTTCTGCTGAAATCCTTACTGAAGTAGCAGTGCCTTATTCAGCAGCGGCGTTGAGGGATGAAATCGAAAATCCTTATTGTCTCTGAAGACACTTGTCAACATCTTAAATCTACCCTGAACTGGAAAAGCTATAAAGGGCCTTAGAGTATATAAAAAAAGAAATCTATCACTGGTATCATGCTGTAGTTAAAGTATATTACCTGGAAACTAGAAAATTTATTATTGCAACTACACAGAATGGTTTGGATTAAATCTGACCATGATAAAACTTTTCCTATAGCCCAGTGCAAGCTTTCCTTCAGCCATGAATGAAAACACTGCATTCCCAATTTCCTTCTACGCCTGCCTGAGTTTTCACAGGGCATCTGGGAAGCCACACAACATGCAGTGTAAGCACTGAATGAACTCACCAGTCTAAGCCAACCCAATACTCTGAGGTGACCTGAAGATAGCTTGTGGGACAATGGGAAAGCTACAGATGATTATGTCCCTTCTTTGAAAATACTCTGACAGGATGCTCGCTCCAGGGCACCCTCCTCTTAAAAAAAAGAGGTGAACAGAACCCCCCAAATTCTTCACATGGATCAGTGCTTGCTGTGTGCAGCAGGGGGAACACAGCCACCCTCCCTTCCTCCCCTTTAAGATTAATCATGGTCTTTAAAATCATCCATTTACTTACTGACTGAAAAGGCAGAAGCTCCACAAAGAAATAAAACAAGCAAGTAAAACATGCTGGAAAAGATTGAAAACTCTTGCTTTAAAAAGCCACTGTAAGCAAAAGGGTGTATCATTAGTATTTATGCTGCAAAGATTTTTCTGAACCCTGCCAAGATTGAGGCGTGTGATGTTCTTTGCTTTACGTTTTCAGAGGAAGACAGTAATGAGCCAGTGGTGTTCCTTCTCTCTTCCAGGCATGGGGTCTGGATGGGAAAACTCCCACTGGCTTCAGAAGGCCAAGCTTTCATCTCAAGACTCTCTGTTTTAGAGGAAAACAGAAAGAAGGAGAAAGAAGGGAGTAAAGGGAGTGGAGAAGACCCCCTTAAAGTTATACAAAAGCTATAGCACCAACATCAGTTACTCCGTAAAATTGGTGGCATTTTTGTTTTTTAGCCTTCAAATAAAATTGAGTCACTCAAACAAAAACGTAAGGTCAGCTCCCCTAGTTCAGAATCTTTTTTGGGGGGTTTTCTATTAAAAACCCTGAATCCAAGCAAAAATGCCCTGTAAATGAGTGCAGTGATTGCCACAGTGGAAGCAGTCCTGTCTTGCTTGAAACTCGTTCCCTCAAATTTCAAGGACACTACCTTGCAACTAGGTAAAATACACTACAGCTAGTTTTCTGCTATGCATTTGTTACAATGCCAACAGAGTTGAATACATATCAATTATATATATTGAAGGGAAGTGGGAAGGGAAAAACTCAAAAGTATTGTATCCAAAATGTTGCTTTGCAAATGTGGAATAAGATAGCTCAGCCACTACCGCCTGATCTTCTGTCTGCATATGCAGCTGTGGTTGTCACAAGGACAATAACCTGCTATGAAAAGAAATACGAAGCATTAATTCACAGACAGCAAGTGGCTTAAAAAAAGGGTGTTCCTTTGCTTCACAGGAATCACACTGATGCCCTAAAGAAGAGGAAACTACTAATGAGGCTTCAAAAGTGGGAAGAATCACATACATCTGAAAAGAAAGAAGGTTGGAAATACACTCGTGTTTCCTGGGGTCAATGAAATGGCTTCTACACTTGGGCAGCACCTTGACCAGCAGAATCACTTTCTGGAAGTCACAGAAGATTTTCCTTTTACCCAGTGGATCTTTTCTATGCTTCAGTGGATCCTCCACCTCATGCAGATACCTCATAGAGAGACGTGTTTCCAGCTTCCCTGTAGGGAGGGAGAGCTGCCCTCGGGCCTGCACCCAGCCTGATTCACCCAGCCTGTGTGGGAGCATGGCAACAAGGACCACTAAATGGAACAGGGCTCCTGACATTCAGAAGTCTCCTACAGCACAGACAGCTTGTGGGACAGCTCTCCAACCGGCTACCTCTAGCTTCACGAACGTAAGAGAATTTATGTGCAAGCTTTGCCCATGGAAAGTCCAACCTCCCTAACAGAAGGTCCATTCTCTCTGATGGATGCTATTTGGATGGGAAGTAAATAAAACCCAGATTTCAGATTATCTGTAGACTATCGCTAGCCCAGAGAAGTCAGCAGATCATCTTCTATATGGATGCGATGTGAAGGCCACACAGAGACACCTCGTCTTGAGAGATCCCAGATAACCACAAGAATAACTGCAGCAAACTAATCTAATGCCTGTACCACAGCACACACTGGCAACTGGTCGGTGTTATTTATTTCTTCTGGATACACTGGGGACAACTTGAGGTGAGAAGATTCTGTATTAAGCTGATCTCATCCAGAAGAGTTCACCTACATCCTTTTGGGAACAAGACGGAATCTGAGGCAACTTGTTACGAGCTTTAAATGTAACAGTTTGTCCTATTATTTGTTCTGAAATATTTCTGGCCTTATTTAATCATTCACATAGGGAAAACATGATCACAAAATGAGTAAGTAGGAAAAGCATTCTGCAAACATTCTAACTCACAGTGCACTGATACTCTTCTGCAATGCCAGATGTATCCATGCATTTGAAGACTGCAAGATTCAACTCTCCTAAAAACAAAGCTGATGCTCGCATGGAAGGTCATTGCAATTTTTTTCTTCATTAAAAATACTGATATGGGTAATGAGGTATGGTATTCTGTCCAGGAAATAGCCAGAATGAAACTCCTACTTTTTGCCCCCCTGTAAAAGATATTTTAAGTAAAAGATACTGGATTTCCCGTAATCCTTCATAAAGGGTTGCTATGGATACTTTGAACAGGGTAAGGGGCAACCCGAAGAGTCAGGATTTTTCAGAAAATCTGATGTTACAGGAGTAGTGATACATGTCAAGGTGAGAGAGGACATAAGATTTAAGAGATTTCCAATCTGCCTTTGATTTTCAGATATGGCCTTCTGAATGGCAAATCCTTTGGCTTTAGCTCATGTTTCTCAAGGTGTGCAGAGGAATACTGAATTTAATCAGAGCTTGCAGTGAATGTCTGCTGTAACTTCATTCCCCTCTGGAAATACCTAAAACTTGAACATGATCTTTAAAGACAGGAAGAGTAGGTTTCAGTTTTGCTTTCACAGAAAGGTGTCCTCTTTTGCAGTCAGCCTCTCCCCATTATAAGATCAAAAGCCGAAGCCATAGCTCTGCACCCTCACACCGAAGGCTCACAAATGCTTGGGTGAGTTCAGCCAGACCAATGGTCCATTGCCAGAGTAGACATGACATTCAGAGTATCCCACTACTGAAGTTTTGGTGTCCAGTGCTGTCAGAACGACTGGTTGTCCCAAGCAGCTGTGACTGCCTTGCCAACAGAGCTGTGGGTGAGTTATATTGCTGTCCTGGGCTTCGCCTTTCCCCATGTTTCCTCGACAAAGTCAGCTTCTTTACACGCTTGCCCAAAACAGGGACACAGTGTTTAAGGATAAGAAGCTTGGATGGAGCCATTATTCTGGTCTCCCCATAGGATGCCCACTCAGTATCCTCTCTGCTTCTAGAGCAGCAACGATTTTTCACCCACTCCTATTAAAGTTAATGGAATTGTACTGTGGTCGCATAGAGGTGCATTCAGACATCGTAACTCAGAAACTGCTGGTGTGTCCACGATACTTGATGTCTGTGCCATGACAGTCAGTATGTTGGCACGCACATAATAATCAACATGCACAAAATATTTCAACCATACCACTTTTATGAGTGATTTGAGCTTCAGTATTACCAACTTTAGGTACCACAGACAAAATGGTATCAGGGACCCAGAAAAAAAACAGGGCCTTTTTGTGAGGGGTCTATTTGATTGGACCTACCAAATGGAAAATTAGTAAGTCCCCATTGCAGCAGAGCCCTCACGAAATGCCAAGACACAGCTGACTTAAGCTTTTCAGGCTTTTTTTCCATGGATTAGCCCTTGATTGGTCTCATAGTAGACTTTTTCAAGCAGAGCCTTGAGGAGTTCAAGACATTTCCCATGGTTTCTAAATGCCTTTGTAATGAATCTGAAATTCAGGCAGCTGGAGGTCAGCTTCAAGACAGAAAGAGCTGTCTTCTATCAAGGGACATGGTTTGTAAGTGGTAGATATTTCTTTTGTTAGACACTAGAAACAAACAACAATCTGGAAGAACAGCAAGCTAAAAGCTGACTATGGAGCACAGGCAGAAACAAGCAGGCATGGAAGTCAGGTGCAGAAGTCAAGTGCCAGGTCCCAAATAGGACTCCTGGAAGGAGGCACTAATGCATTCAAGGCATCAAGAACCAGTGATGCCGTGTGGAGGGAAAGGCTTCACAACACGGCGGCTGTAACAGTAATTTGGGCATTACTGGAAGGGCACAGCAGACGATACATGATGACGCTTTGATGCATGCAGGCAAACTTAATGGGTTAGCTGGAGGAGAGGAGCAGCCCCTGTGGGATACCGGTCTCTGGTCTTGTTCAGAAGGGCTTGGTTTGCAGGCTTCTGGAGGCAACAGTTAAGTGCAGAAGATCCTGCTTGACCCTTCTAACAGAGCGTGGGGAGAGACAGTTGTGCATCATCACACTACTGTTACTATGAAGCATGAAACAGAGAGTTGGGACTCATAAGTTACTTCTGCCTTTGGTGAGGGTAAAACATGTCTAGGAGACAAATTTTGTTGGTAATGCTTAGGGGGGGGCGGGGGAAAAAAAGCAAACACCAAGATATTTCATTGCATTAACCTTGGCCAGAGCACAATGTTTACTGTATTGCTTGACCTTCACTCACAATTCTAACACAATTGTTTTCTTCTGCTTGCAAAACAGGGCACCGTCACCTTCAACTTCTAGTTTTACTCCCATCTCTAATATTGATAGGATATCTCTAGTGTATTTAATTCTCATGTGCTGCTGAAAATTATAAGAAGCTTTTATATATATATAAATATGTATATATATAAAATCTAATTCTCAGTGAACCATAAATGTTCTCTGTGAATTTCGTGAGGCTAGCACTTGTGGGAGGGTGCTGAAATCTGGACAATGCCTTCTGCAGGCTGCATTTTTGTACTGTGGAATAAATAAATAAATAAAGAGCCACCCAGCTGGGAAGCATCTACCTTGTACGGTTCACTGAAGAGGGAGTAACTCGTGTTAAACGCGCCATCCTCCTGCTGGGCCTCCTGATTTCTCCTTTCCCATTCTTTCCTTCGCAGCACGTTTCTATCCGGCTCGTAGACACTGCAGCAAGAAAGAGGAATAGCTTTTTAAGAGTTAAAAATTAGCGGGCAACATATAAACCAGTGTGAATTTAAAAGTGAAGAACTGTGGTTTGCAGACAGATGGCAAAAATAAGCAAGAACATGAATCAGGCGAATGCCAGTCCAAGCAGGCTGGGGAGGTTCAGGTCTCTGGGAATGCTGGTGCTTTCTTCACACAGAGAATAGATAATTAAATTCTTACAGAAGAATAAAAAAGAAATCACAGGGCAGGATCTAGTCTGTGCAGAACTTCTCTGCTTGAAATGTGACAAAGGAAATATCTAAGCAACTTTGACAAAGACTGAATGTACTCTTAAGGCAGATGGTAATTACAGCTATGAGTAAATAGAAATTATGAACATATTTCCACTTATGACATATCCTCTGAGTGTTGTATGAGAATGCTCCTTTTTTCACATGGATGTGTTTCTGTAGTGATTCTTTCATTAACTAGCTCCCTAAAGAGCTGTTAAAACTACATGCTGTAGTGGTTTCCACAGTTAGGCTGCTTCTTCTGATCTCTGTTAATCAGCCAAGTCGTGAAACTACTACTGAAACAATTCCTCTTTCTGATGGATTTGACACTATCACAACTTCAGAGCATGAATAAATGAATACTGGCACGATAGTGTCTTTATGGCTGGTAGAGCGTAGCTGGAGAGAGCATAAAATTACTGCATTACACAACAGTATTATTTTTTAGAAATTAACGAGTCTGGCTCCAATATAAACAACCAGAATAAAAAAAAAATCTTTCTTTTTTTCAGAATTCTATTTTTATGCATGACAACCTAAACCAGAGAATCCTCTCCCTGAATTTCCCCGACAACAACACAGGTTTGCACATTCCAGTCTGTTATGTTTTATTTTCCTCACAAAGGAAATCAACGTGTCTAATAAGGTTTATGTGTTATTTCAGGACAATGTGACGAGTACGCTGATTGCCTATTTTGCTTAGCTCAGCTAATGCCTTTCTTCTGGCACTGTAAATCTGTAAAGTAGAAATATATATTAATGTCATGTAAGTGTACCATGTGTTAATAAGCAAAAGGTTGTCTTGCTAATCAGCTTCCCAGTTAGCAAAGCATATGCTGCATCGGCTACGCACGTGACGTTACCTAGCACGCCCCAGGCAAGGCAGTAAAAAGGCCAACAACTATCTGATCTAATTCAAGACCTAAGAGAGCTAAAAATACATAGGATATGTTAGACGCTATTTAGTATTTAAAAACAATGCCTTAGCAGCCACCAAACAGACACAAACTCTCATGTTTACCTGTTAATGCTGCTACCGCGAACCGGGCTGCAGAGTACCCTTCTGATGGGTCCGAGGGCATCTGAGGGCAGATGCCAAACACCGAGCAGGGCCCTCAAACACGGGGGTTTATTGTGAACACAGAGTTTCAGTGCAGCAGGTTGGAGACAGCTTCCATTCCCCAGTCTGTTTATTCCACGTACAGGTGGTTGAGTTCTTTCGGTTTTTATCCTGTATTTTTCATGAGCAATGCATGTTATTCACACCGACACCCTCTTTTGAAAAGCAGCGTAATGAGGAGGCCATCATAGGGATGGAGTTTTGGACATGGAAAATGCCTTCCTCCAGGAAGAAGGGGGCAGCGAAGGCCTCCCCATGGGGTCCCTGTGAGCAGAGATCACCAGCTGCACACGTTGCCGAGGCCAGGGGGCAGAGAAATTGTCATTTACTGCTATGCGAGCAATGGTCCTCAGTTACTACATCACGCTATCTGAGCATGCTCCCATCAGTTAAGTCAGGGTAACAACAACCTCTGTGTCTATAGCAGACTTTCTGCCACCCTGAATAACCATTGTTGGGTGGAGTTTTGCTGCAGTTGCAGGGATCTGCGGCTTCATCCTCAGACACATTTCCTCATCCAGAACCTCTTGACTTCTTGAGACACTTTGCATTTGGACTCTAGCCTGCAGTCAGAGATGGGCAGCTCCTCTGAGATTAATTATAATACTGATCTCTGTCTGGTTTCTAGGAAGTAAAAAAATGCAACATTCTTCATTACACCTCATACAAACTTAAAAATGCACCAGTGTGATACCTGTAAAGTGGAGGGACTTTTTTATGCCTTTATTTGACGGAGGCGTGTAAGTCTCCAATACCCCTTTTCTTGATGGAGACCCATTCGATGAAGACATACAGAACTCTGAACCCCCTTCCCGAATGAGAAGTTCACTGTTGGCAATGCAATTCCTGACGTCAGCTGGGAAGACCACACAGCTAGGCAGGCGCAATCCAGGAGGTTCCTACAGAGCATCGACGATAACTTTCTGATGCAAGTGGTGAAGGAACCAACAAGGAAAGGCGCTCTGCTGGACCTTGTGTTAACAAACAAGGAGGGACTGGTGGAGGATGTGAAGGTCGGAGGTAGACTCGGCTGCAGTGACCATGAAATGGTCGAGTTCAGGATCCTGCGTGGAGGAAGCAGGGTGATAAGCAGGATCAAAACCTTGGAACTCAGGAGGGCTAACTTTGGCCTCTTCAAGGAGCTACTGGGAGGAATCCCATGGGCCAGGGCTCTCGAAGGCAGGGGGATCCAAGAGTGCTGGTCACTTTTTAAATGTCACTTCCTCCATGCTCAGGAGCGGTGCATCCCCCTGAGAAAGAAATCGAACAAAGGAGGCAGGAGACCTGCATGGTTGAACAAGGAGCTTCTAGCAGAGATCAGGCAGAAGAGAAAGGTGCATGGAATGTGGAAGGAGGGACAGGCCACTTGGGAAGAATACAGGAATGTGGTCAGAGCATGCAGGGATGCGACGAGGAAGGCCAA